TCTAGGTTGAAGTTATGTAAGGTTTTGGACAGATTTTGGACTTGTTGCTGTGGATTCTGGAGGCCAGCAGTTTCAGGCTTAAAAACTCTAAACTGTGTAGGTTTTCTCTGTTTGTCTGCAGAAACCCTAAGGTCTTTCAAAATATGTGTCTGCTCTGTCGTTGGTAAGTCACAGGTTATAACAACCAACAATTATTGCATTCTGCATGGGCAGTGTTTCCTGTCAGAATGGGTCTGGCCTTGGTAAGGAACTGAGATGTCATGTTCTTCTGCACATGGTGATTCTTTGCTTTAACTACAGCTTTTCCTCTGTCTTACTGTGTTCTCCCTCTTACCATGCCACCAGGAAGGGAAGGATACTTTCCTGGAGGAATGTGTTGTCAGCAGCAAAGAATAATTCTGAGGCATGAAGACGTTGTAAGGCTTTTCTACATAGGAGTTGTTGAGGAGAAAAAATAATGTGGATTTAAAGCCAAATCACCCTTTGGAGATGACTTGGAGAAGATGACATCATCATATTTTCAAAAATGAGGTTGCCCTCCAGCTTTTCAGCTGCTTGTCATGGGTTTGGAAGAAATTACTCTAATCCTGAACTGTAACCATCTCTCTATCAAAAGCTTCTGCCAGAGCAAGGTCATTCATTGTTCTTCCTTAATTTCTGTCTTTCCTCAGGGCGCAGTTTTAATGTTTCTGTATTGGAAAGGTCAGAAGTTACCGTCTTACTCATTATTTTGTTCAGCAATGAATGCTTCCGCTGATACTTGTCTAGAATGACCAGGCTAGTTGAGAATTGCTGATGAGCTGACTAAAAAATGTTGAAAGCTATTCTTCCTAGAATCGAAGTCTTGCTTTTGTTTTTCATTTGTGCTTCATAATGGGTAAATTATGAGGTCTAAAAGAGTTTCTTAAATTATTTTTGTGCTCATTTCACTATACACAAATGAGACTTTAAATTCATTCTCCCCCTTCCTTGCTAGTCTTATTGGAGGTTCTACATGTTTCTTGGATGTAATTTATTATGAAAACAAACATCTGGAAAACTGGTCACTTCTCTTAATAATAATTTTAAGTTAATTTCAAAGCCTATTAGTGAAATAGCTTGAACTGGCTAACTAAAATCCCTTCTACTTAGCAGGGAACATGAAAGTTTACAGGTTATTAGGGCCTTGCCTTTTAATAAATTCCCTTACACCACAGTTTTCTAATTTAGGCAGACTATAAAATTTTAACCTAAATAGAATATTGACAAATAGGAGAAACTTCAACTAATAGAACTCTAAGCATCTCATCATCCGTGACTGGGAGCTGGTGCCTTTCCCCCTGTACTTGGTATTCATCCTGATTAATACAGATCAATGGAGGGAATTTAATAGGGAACTGTTAATATCCATATAGAGCCAATTAAAACATTTTATGAATGGGAACTATACACTAAATGACATATATTTGATTTGATTTAGGTTATAGAACAAATGAAAAATCAAGGGCTTTGTTTGCCACAATGCATATTATGCAGTCATTTTATATTTTACACAGTTGTTATATAACATTTCTATTTGATTTGTTACTGTTTTGTGTTGTTCACCAGTCTGCACAAGTATGTTACTAATACTAAATGCAAGCATTTAGAGTTCTTAAGGGAGAAATCTTCAGATTCATTAACACAACTCTTACTTAAATGAAAGCTTTGTTTTTATTAAGTCTAGAGTTTCCTTCATCATGTTTTTAAAATCACTTCTAGAAAATGCTTCTGACCTTGAGAATTGTTAGTGAATTTTGGGGGATGTTTTGTGGGCTTTGTTTTGTTTCCACAATGAGATTAATAGGGTTTACTGTACCTCTTTTCCAGAATACAAGGCACGTGCCCATTAGGAAAGAGAGTTTTGTGTCAGCAGTGATTCAGTGAACTTGAGTATAGAACAATACTATTTGATAATATCAAAACACATCTCCATCTTCATGTGGTTTGCTGAGTGCACAAATCAATTGAAAGTGTTTCTGTCTTTGTGATATCCTTAGTTGCTGCACCCACTAGGATGTCAGAGGCTGATTGTTGGGGTTTTTTTATTGAAAAACCCTGTAGTGTTTCTGCATGGGCCTGCAATCACTTATTTTTCTATTCAGTTTTCTGTAGCTGGTTTCACCTTGTGTAAAAATGGAAAATGTTATGTTTTCCTTCTTGAAACCAAATGTCTTGAGGATTTATCTTCTTGACCTACTTCAAAGATGTGCTTATTATTTCACAGGAACAAAAGCAAGGATGTTATCACTTAGCCATAGCACATAATTGTCTGAGTGAGTCAGTGTAGGGGGATGCACCACACATCATGACCTGTAATTCTCATTTCTCAGTAATTTCAAGTTGTTCTTGAGAGTCCTGTATCCACACATCCCTAGCAACATGGTCACTCAGCTTTTTAAAACCTCTTTTCGCATGTGATCTTAGTCATTGCCTTCTTTCCCAGATGAGCTCTTTTACTTTTCATTGTTGTCGATCTAGAAGCTGTTCTTAAATAATAACAGTTAACTGTTTGTTTTTCCAAATTTCTTCTGAAAATGGAAATTGAAAGAGAATTATTTTAAAAAAATATTTATCTACCTCCTGCCATTAAAGCAGCAGTTTATCAAGTAGAATACAAAGAGGAGCTAATGGGAAAAATTGCTTTCAGATAATAACTGGGGCTCTGTTTTAGTTTAGTAATAATTCTCACTTAGATCTGGGTGTAACTCCAGCTGCTCAGCTGTTGTACAGAACAGAGCAGTATTATCTGGAGTTGCTTGCATCAGAATTCAGAGGTCCTCAGGCTGCTTTTTTGTACCCATGGTTCTCCCAGTTTTGTGAATTATTTGTGAAGCAGCCTTCTGAGAGAACACACGTCTCAGAAGTGGGTACGTTCTTCCCAAGAACATGGGGAGGAGATGCTGGGAGCAGAGCAAGGACTGTTCAGGAGGTACCCAAGTAGGGTTTGAAGGATGGAGAGGCATCAATGAGAGTTTTTTGGGAGGAAGGGGTTTGTTTGTTTTATCAGGAACCACTGTGCCGAGTACAGTTCCCCAATGAGGGCTTGAGATGAAGCAGTTTTATTTGGAGAGAGAGGGGCTGTTACTAACAATGCCTTTTGTCTCTCTGAAGACTTTATGATCCATCTTCTCTGGCAGAATTTATGCCACTTCTATATTCAAACAGGTCTCGAACCATGGGATTTTAAGCTGTAGTTGTAATGTGACATATGAATATTCTTCTCAGCAAACAGCAGCAACCCAGCTCTGGACCAGAATTGAAATGTCTGGGTTTCTGACAGTTTTATTTATTCTTTCCTACACAAAAGCGACTTGATCACTATTTAGACCTTGTGTGTATCTGTTATTATTTAGGTATATTAAAAAAGCATGTGTATTGTTCCTGTCTCTTCTAAAAGTAAAACAGGTCCGCAGAAGTTAGAAAGCCAGCAAAAAATTCATTTTGTCAAAACTGGGAAGGATTAGATATAAAAACATGGTGAGGAGATCTAGCCCAAATACCAAATTACAGGAGTGAACTGCACAGGTGGAAGGAGAGGACAGAAGAGTAATACGTTGCATTAAAGAATAGCGGGTTTCTCCTCCTTAGCACGTCTGATAGCTGTAGCAATGTGCCCCCTGTTGACGGAGTGACAAAACTATCCTTTGTCTCCTAAAAAAGGAAAAAAGCCCAGACGTTTCTTTCCTCAATTAGGTAGAAAGACACCTCATAGGACCTTGGGGACTTCACCTCAAACTTAAGGATAGCAAATTGGACAGAAGCCCTGAAGTCCCGCCTAAGTAATTTACTAGAAAAAGAAGAGAACAAAGGAACTAATCACTTTTGTGAGGTGTTTTACCAAGAGCAAGAACCTCTTGTCCTGGCTCAATTTTTCTCTGTAAAAAGCTTTGTTATTTTGCCTTTCATTAAAACTTTTCTGTTTCCAACACAGCCACAGAAGCCATCCTGCTGATTTTATGCCATGTGAGGTAGCTGAGCTATCTCAGGTGTGATACAAATCTCCAAGAGCCTATAAGACCTGGCTTGAGGGGACCCTACATCAAATAGCTTTCCTCCATCCATGCTCTGTACCTGCTGTGGGTGGGAGTTGGGGCTCTCTGACTGAGGGAAAGGTGTCAGGAGGGAAACTTCTCTCAAATATCCCACACATAAAAAGTGCAAGAACCACTGTGTTAAAGCTGTGGTTCTTCAGTGTGTGCTGTTTGGTAGACAAGGGCTATTCATGACATCTCATAGTGACAGAAGACAAATACAAAAGTAGGAATGCTTTTAATACTGATTCGATCTGGCTGTGACAAATGCATATTTTGTGGTTGGCTTTTTGCAAATATTAAAATGAATGTTATATGTGTTGTGTTAGAAAGTAATGCTGTATTAATGCTCTTAAGTAGTGTATTAAATACAGTTTTAGGTTATAACAAAATGCTAAAATAGAAACTATGCTATGTAGGATACTTTTTTTTAAAGAAAGGACTCGCACTGAGATAACAGTCACAAGACACCTAAGTCTTTCAGAGAAAGGGAATTTATTGCTCCATTGTCAGGAGAAATGAACTTCTTCCCGCCTCGCTCGGGCAGGATCACGCTGTTAGGATTATGAGGAAAAAGTTCATGATGACCAGACAGAATCCTGTGTTTGGATGGAATTTATGCATCATGTATGAAGTGTATGAATATACAACAGGCTGTTGCTTTTAAGAGTTAATCCTCTGTTAACGTGTGTCCTTTTCAGGCTTATGCTGCCCCGAAAAAGGTACCTGGACATCTGTAACTCTTTGTTTCTATTGTCTCATATTGTCCTAAATCAAATTGCCCAAATTATTATGACTCTAATTGTATTACTGTTTTTATAACCATTTTATTACTATTAAACTTTTAAAATTTTAAACAAGGTGATTGGCGTTTTTCACACAGCTATGGAGGAGACATTACGTGGATTCAAGCTGAGCATCTCTGATGTTTTTTGTCTTTCACACCAGCTCTATGTGGCCACTGAAGCCATCCTCATCGCATTGGTGGGTGCAACTCCTCCCTACCAGTGGGATCTCCAGGGGCTCTCAGCTAATGAGAGCCATGGCAACCACTCAGTGAGCGAGCAGGGAGCTTTTGGGGAATGGCTTCTGACTGCCAACAGCAGCGAGGTGCGCAAGCACGTACACTTCAGCAGCAACTTCACATCCATTGTCTCTGAGGTGAGTCTGAGATGTGCTTTGCAGTCTCGTGTGTGAGTAGTAAATCTTACTGAGATGGTTTTGGGGGTCTCTTTGTACTGCTTTTTTCTTGCATACTAATGGATGTTTTGATTAGCAAATGAAATGTGCTACCTCCAGCTAGAGCCCAGGTAATGTGCTCATGTCTTAACTGGCAACAAAAGCTAGCTTTATGTTGCTATGCAGATCTTGATCAGTGTTCTGCTCCAAAACTTCCACCATTTCTGTGTGGAGGTTGCATTTTGCATCCTGCAGCCTGGTTCCACATTTGAGCTGGAATCATGACATTCATTTTACTAATTTGCTCAAAATCCTTTATGGACTCTGAGCTCTTTCTGGCCATGCCCTTGCTGAGCTCCAGTGCATGTAGTGCATCCATCATGCAGTTAGCAAGCACTGGAGGAACTGGAGAGGAACTGGCTCCTGCAGTTTTTGCAGCTCCGCATGCAAGAACATGGGCAGTGGGGAGTCAGGTGGACAAAGCAGATCCCTCACGTTCTATTCCAAAACAGGCTTTGGCTTTGTTGGCACGACCTCTGTGTTTTTTAAGTGATTTCTTTCATGGTCTAGCCATAGTCCCTACAGGAATGATTCCAGACTCTGCATTGATGTGTGCAACACCTGCCCTTCCTGGGTCTGTCAGTATCTGTTAATGTCAAATTTCTCTTTACGAGAGCCCTGAGTGCATTGGTTACAAGGCCTGAATGTAGAGCTGAACTGTGGAGTCAAGTGTAGTACCACTTGATAGTTTGTGGCTATTATCCTGAGATATTAATGCTATCCAAATTACTCCTGTAAAGCAGTTTATTGGTTAGGAGCATATTAATAAAAATGGCCAGCTTTGGAATAGTACCAAGTCTTTGTGTACAAAAGGCATTGCTTCTTATTCTCTCAGTAAAGAGGATATGAGTACTTATGATACCATTTAAATTAAAATTTTAATGGATGGTGGATTTCTTAAGCATTATTTAAAACTCAGTAAGGTTTTTAAATTTTCTCTGGGGTTTTTCTTTTTTTTTTTTTTTTTTTTTTTTAACTTGCCCAAGAATCTTTTACTCTCTTAAACTTGACGAGTCAGACATGCTTGTAGAGCCTAGCATATGACATAGATTTTATACTGATCTTTATACATTTTGGTTGCATAATTAAGAAATGCAGGTAAAGAACAAATCCTGCTTGAGCAAGAAAAAACCCTAAAAATCTCCTCAACCAAAAAAAACCCAAAAAACCCCAACCTCAAGGCAACTTGTGTAGAGTCTGCTTTCTAGTTCTTTAGCATATGTTTCAGTAGAGGCCCATTTGAATAAAATCTTCATACCTCTTCTGTTTCCCTCTATTAAAGTACAGTTTTTATGAATTTTTAGCTAAATATTTGGTGTATTTGGAGGTTATGTGCTAAGCACAAGCATTTTGAGAGAGAACATACATAGCTGGAGAATATTTCACCACTAATTCATTATTAATCTAATTTCATGATTGATTGTAAAGAAGTTTTTTCCTACATTGAAAGAGGACGTGTCAGTGCTTAACCTTGTGGCATCATTGACAGCATGACCATTACAAATTTACACTGAAAAAGATTGTAAAAAGCTTGATTTCTGAATAACCATATATGTAGCATGATTTTATGTAGAAAAGCCTTGAGCTCTCTAAAGGGCTTAGACATTGAGATAAATCTTGAGAAGAAATTTTGCTTTACAACCAAATTATCCCTTAATCCCTGAATGATTCAGAAAGTGTCTCACGTCAACAGTTTTCATATTGGCAGCTTTTTTAATTTTTATGCCAAAATTTACAGCATGATTCTTGTAGCTGTTATAAAACAAACTGACCATGTTATTCCAGGATAAAATTAATCTCATATGCAATTGTTTTACAAATGCATTTTTCTGGCAATTGTTTTTGAAGTCTGCAGAAGTTTCAAAAGCTGATTTATGGTCATATGGTTGGTTTCAGTTGAATTTTGTCAGTCTTGACACTTTATGGATGCATTTCCTACTATTATCAGTAACTACCTTCCTGTTAAAGTAACAATTCAAAATGAAGCAGATAGAGAAAGTAAGCAAGTTATTTTCTTGGAGCTTATGAATGATGTTTTGTTAGCATCCTAATCTTTGTGAGGTTTAATTGCATGGCTCTGTTCTCATGATGAGGTAGTTTATAACTGAGCTTTGAAATAATATAAGCTTTGCTAGAGAAGATATTTAATGAGATTTTGTTAGAGGAAGAGGAGATTATGAGGAGAAGATTAGAGAGTTATTGCAGGGATAATGACATAATCACCAGCTTACCAGCACAGGAAGAAGAGTTGGTTGTCACTAAAAGGAAACATTATCTCAAGGTGCAGGAGGAATAGTAAAAGAAAAGAACAGAAGATGTGGAGTGTTTAGAATACAAAAGAAAATAACTTTTGTACATTGAGAGCATAGCGTATTTTCATTCTGCACTTCTGTGGGGCAAAGAATTTTGTCAGGTTCAACTTGAGACATTAAGTCTCTAAGAATCAAACATTTCAAGATGTATTTGTATTGGAATTGAAGAGAACTAGAAGTGATGAAGTACGCTGTAAAAAAGATGAGTGTGTGCAGAAAACCTGACTAGCCTGCTACCAAAGTATTGCTCAGGGACAAGACAGTTCATAAAGAGAAGCATGTGCAGGAGTATCTTCAGACATAAACCACAACTATTTTTTCAGGATGTGTGTTCTACACACTGCAGTGACACATGTCAATAGGTAGATCTGAATCGGTTTAGGTAAACAGCTTTATGTAAAAGAAGAAGGAGGAAAGTGGAAGAAAGCTGTGAAAATTAGAGTATTGTGAGGAATCTGTTCTTGATTTCAGAACCAAAGACTGCATTTGTTCTGGGGGAACTGCAATTGTTAGTATCCTGCAAGGAGTTTGGGAGACAGCAGTGGGGACTGGTGATTTACTGAATATGATGCTTAGGAGATTTCTGAAGAGTTTGATCTTCTTTAAAATTTGTAACATCCCCTCCAGCTATTAGCTGTTGGTGAACTGTTCAGATTCTGATTAATTTGCCTTTTTGCTGGTTTGTTGTTTCTGGTTTTTCTTCCCCCTCCATCCAGTGGTTTTTAATTGGCAATGCATCGTACAAAGTCAGTGCTGCCAGTTCTTTCTACTTCAGCGGTGTGTTTGTTGGAGCCATCTCCTTTGGGCAGCTGTCCGATCGCTTCGGGAGGAAGAAAGTCTATCTCACAGGTAACCCCTCAACAGCATGAATGGCATGAAGGTGTCGTGTCCCTGAAGATCAGTGGCAGCAGCCCAGTTTCTGCTGAGAGCTTGATATGCAGCTGAAAATCATGTGCTGTGGCTTTGTTTGTTTTGGCATTCCAATATACTTGTGCCATAGAAGTTGAGATGACAAATCAGTATTTCACTGTTCAGTCACCATTTGGATTTCTGCGAGGTGTTCTAGGTTTGTGAGTCACGCCGTAAAAGGCTTTCACTCGTGCAATGTTGTGCTCCTGGGATCTCTACAAGTTGCAATTAGTATGCCTAGTAGTTTTATAACAGCATTCTTACCTGTATAACCTGTTAGGAATTTGTTGCATGTTTTATCCCCTGTCTGCATGATTTAATTTTTATATATTTGTGATCCTCATACTGTTTTGAAGCTCATAAGCTTTCTAACTGTCCCCGGATGAAACAGCATTTAAAACTGCATGTTTTGTGTATGTATAAAGTTGTGTGTCAATGCATGAGCATGTAGAGTTTAAATAAATGTTTTATGCTTTTTGTTTTTCTTTGAAGGAACAGCACTCATTCAAAGCACAAAAAGGTGGGCCTGCTCTCTGTGCAAACCCATCATGTATTGTCCCCTGGCAATGTTTCTCTTCTCTGGTTTCTATACATGGCTCTCTAAAAATGAGTGGGATATTTGGTTATATACTTAACCTGTGGCTTCTGTATTAGGGATAAATTTAAAGCCATCTTTAACAGGAGTCAGACAGTGGTTCTGGCTGTATAAAAAACTGTTTGCTATGAACTGAATTTAAAGGTTCAAACTGCAAACTGTGTATCAGAAAAGCACTCCTTCTGTGTCCCCTCCTTTTGGATATTGACTCTAGGTATTTAAATTTCTTTCCAAACTTGTGGTGGTGGTGTGTACTGTGATGGCTCAGGACAGATGCCGCTGGGCATCAAGTAAAGATACCAGTAACTGCTTCTGTTTCTTTAGGTACCCTTCTAACATGAAACTTTTGGCTTTGTTTTCCAGGTTTTGCACTTGACATCTTGTTTGCCATTGCAAACGGATTCTCACCCTCATATGAGTTCTTTGCCGTTTCCCGATTCTTGGTAGGGATGATGAATGGTGGGATGTCCCTGGTAGCCTTTGTTCTGCTGAATGAGTGTGTGGGTACAGCCTACTGGGCATTAGCAGGTAAACTGCCTTTATTGTCAGAATTCATAGTTTTCAATCTCACACACCACTTGAGGCACACAAAGCAGTTGCAAATTTAGCTCTGCTTGAGCATATCTGTGATCACAGCCTTTGAACTCTGCTTATTTAATATGAACCTTGGACAAGTAGGGCAGATGACTTGGGGCCATTCAGATCTCTGCATCACTCAAGTTGACAAAGATGCAGCTGAAACCTCTCCCATGAATGTTACTAGCTAAATACTCATCCAAGGTTTGTCACAACTGAGCTCTACGAATCAGAATGTTGGACTCTGCTAAACACAGCCAAGTGTTTGTACACCAGATATAAATTCTTTCCTTCCTGGCAGTTCTTAAAAAGAAATCAGAAGTGTTCTTATGTCATAGGAGGATGAGAAAACTGTTGCTTATATGTTATTTTAAAAAGTTGTACCATGTAGTAATTGCCCTTAGAATTTAGAAGATACAGACCCCCTTAACTGTCTTGATTTGCTAGTGTTGGACCTGTCCTTCAGAAATGAGTATAACCTGTACTGCTACTGATGCCTTGTGAAGGCTGATCTAGAACAGAGGCTAGATGGAGTTAAAGAATAAAGTAGGTGTTTATTAAAAGGCCTCAATAGATGCACCTTGGGCAGTACAAGAACCCAGCCAGCACTACACCCAAGATGAACCAAAATGGTCACAAAAATGGATGATCAGTCACGGGGTCTCTCACTTTTATAAGTTCTGATCCATTTGCATATTGGAGTGCATTGTCCAATTATAGCTTTAGGTTATAAGTCCCATCTTGTTTTTCTCTTTTCAGTCCACTGTTGTTTATGCTCTTGGGCCTGAAATTTGGATCAGTGGTCCTTGGTCCCAAGATAGAAAAAGAATTGTTTGGTCTAGCTATTCTGTGAAGAGAGCTTACCATTCCTTAATGTGGAGTTCAGAACTGCTACACACTAAAGCAATACAGAATCAGAAAAATATGAAAGCTAAAACCTAAGGCATCACTAGAGCTCCAGGGCCTGACTTACAAAACCCAAAAAGTGCTATGCTGAGCCTGTTTTAAATTAGAGTGTCTTATAAATAATGGAAGCTGTAAACGAATGCTGCATATTCCTAAAACTACCAGGTTTTCAATTTTTTTTAGTAATTATTTTACACATAGAAAGTTGCATACTTATGCTGCATACATACACATACTTATATTTGGAATTAGATGACTTCATTTTTCACAAGTCTTTGTTGGGTGTGGAGGATGTAGAAGGGGCTTTTATTGATCTTTGTAATTAGATGTAATACTTCTGCTCTGCATGAATGAAGGCCAGGGTGTTCTTTGGTCAAAGAATTGTAGTTTTGCCTGAATTGCTGAATGAATTTTTACTAGTAAAGAGTTAGTTCTTGTCTGATCCCATTTGTTGAGATTTACTAGTGTGATGATGTTTTGTTTTGTTTTTACTTGTGTGTTAGGTTCTATTGGTGGCTTGTTCTTTGCTGTTGGAATTGCCCAGTATGCTTTATTAGGGTATTTCGTTCGTTCCTGGAGGACTCTGGCTGTTGTGGTTAATCTGGAAGGAGCAGTCGTCTTTCTCTTCTCTCTGTAAGTTGTTGAAACTGAGTTTCATAAAGAAAGATGTCAAAAAAAAAAAAATCAGAGTACCCAAACTATTAAGTCAAGTTGCCTCTCTGGGATGGCATGAAATGATGTAAATAAGGTATTTCTCTCAACTTGTACACATCCCCTCCTCCCCACATGGTATGTGGTTTCTTCAAATAGTGGTGCTGCAATATCTGAGCCTGTAAGTCTACACTGTACTGTGTGTGCAGTATTCCTGTAGATGGGAACAGTCTCTAGGGAGGAAGAGAAGCACGTCCTGTTCTTTAGCTGGTGTGCTGTAGATGACCTAAACTGGTGTGCTACGGGGCACTATGAATACATGATAAAAGATACAGGAATGATTTCGTCTTTATGTGAGAACATGATGCTTCTCCTGTGTTTACACAGAGGAAACAGCATCAAAATTGCTTGCCTGTCCAGTCTTAAAAGTAGCATGCAAAAGAAAAAATGGGCAGCTGCCTTTAATTTTTCAAATATGACCATTTTGGAGATAGTAGGGGATTTGTGAATTTCAACCGTGAAAGCTCTGTGCTCCAGTGTGGTCTTCTTTTCTTATTTGCTTTCTGACATCTAAATCTCAGTAACTAAAAGAGCAAAATTACTTTAGCTGCTGTTTACACTTGAGGTCTTTTTGTTTCCAACATCTATTTTACTTCAGTAACTCTTTGAATCAAACTTTTGCTCATCAAAAAATCCGCACAACCCTTTCAATGGAAGCATCAGAACTCAGGAAAGGGTTGAGGCTGTTTATGAGGTGAAAGGCAGAGATGACACTTTGGATGTTTCAAAACCTTGTGGTGATAGGCACTTTTAGAAAAAAAATTAACTTTCAGATTGATATGTACAATTTTTTGAAGTGAGTTATGCTGGTGACTCCAGAGCTGTCCTCAGAAGCCTGTCTTTCCTGTAAGAAGAGGGTTTTTTTTTTAATTCCAAATTTCACACTGCCTCCCTGCCGCATTGCTTAAAAATTACTCAATGTAGAAAATACTATCAGATTTTTATCCTGAGGAAGAAAATATGTTCCTTTCTAAGCTCTTTTTTTGGTGAAAACACAAAATCATATTCTTTTAAACTTACAGGAAAAATAAAATTTTTGGTCTGAGGCAAAAATCTTAAAAAGCTTCTGGCCAAAGGCTAAAGTTTAAATTAGTTCTGGAAGCCTCAAAATAATAGAAGATGTGTGTAGTAGATATTGTTGGAGTTACAGACCTGTCAAGTGAAGAGTGCACACAAGGAGCATGACCTTTGCACAGTTTCTGTCTTCTTGTCTACAGGAGAGAATTTGGTAAAAAGCTGAAAACTGGGAAGTGGAAGTTGGTCTTGTGGAAAATGAGAAACGGAACTAGTGGGTCTTACAAAAGCATCTTGTGTTACTTGTAGTAATGTGTGCCTCCTTAATTCTGAATTCTCCAAAGACAGGATCCTAATCGTACTTGTGTGTACATGTGTGTATATATATATATATATATATATATATGTATAAAATCATACTTGTAGTGTCGTTCTATGTGTGTATATATGTATGCACTCAGTGTAATTTTTTGGTATCTAAATTATATGCGGCTTACATTTCCTTTCAACGTGCTTTGTTTCTTTTTCAGTACATGAATTTTATACCTGAAGGGTTGTTTGAAAACTCTTTATCATACTGAAGTGCATTTCAGCCTTATTCCTTTAGACAAGTCTAGCTTCATGGAGAAGAAAACCCCTAAAGGTGTCTGTGTGTGCCTGTGTTTCAGATTCATTCCCGAGTCCCCCCGCTGGCTCTATTCCCAGGGCCGTCTGAACGAGGCGGAAGATGCCCTCTACCTCATTGCAAAGAGGAACCGCAAGCAGAAATGCACTTTTTCATTAAAACTGCCAGCAGAGAGGAGCTCCAGAGAGGCTGGCAGCTTTCTGGACCTGTTCCGATACAGGATTCTCCTGGGACGCACCTTGATCATGATGTTCACCTGGTACTGGGAATGCTTTGTAGGCCCAGCTGTGCTGCTGCGACCGCTTTAAGTCTTTGAGAGGATATGGTGCTGGCAATTGCCTCATCCTACAGATTGTTAGGGACACTGTACCTAAAAAGGATCCTTTATAGTATTTAAGTATCTATTAGAGTATTTCCTTAGTACCTTGCTAGCACAAAGCCATTTTTACAGTCCAGTTCTGAGGTGTTTTATCTCTGCATTTCTGTCTTGTGTTTTGAGTCTCAAAATAGTTGAGAACTGCCCCTTCCGTTCTGACCCACAAGGCTGCTGAGATTAGTCACAGTGTCTTCCTTTAGGCCCAGAGCTGTCAGTATCTCTTCTCATGGATTATTTCTTGTTTTGTGTCTAAGGAGCCCATTAGCAGGTGGGTGGCCTACCTTGTCTAATGAGCAGACATTGCAGGCAACAGTTCTTAAGAGAAAGTGCTTGCTGTTGCTGCAGTGAGGAGCAGGAGCCCGTGATGGTCCCTCCAGTTACTAGCAGAAATTCAACTCCAAAAGTCCCTGTTGGTTTTTGGTTTTTTTTTTTTTTTCAGATATCTTGGCAGCTCTGAGGTCTTTTGCTGCTTCTTTATAAAAACCTTATGTGTGACATAGTATGCAGGTCCTTGGGCATGACTGCTCATATAGTTGCTTTTATAGTGCATATATTTGGGAAAGATGTATCAATTAAGAATAAAACAAATGGTTTTGCCAGCATACAGCACTGAGCTGTTTTCATGTTGCTTTTCAAAGTGCTTACTGCAGAATAAATAGTTGATTGTTCTGTTCCTTAAATGAGAATTGCTGATTTGCTGCAGAATGAATTCATGACCAGTTTCTTTCCTCTCTGTAAAGACAACTCCCTTTTACAGGGATTAACATGACAATAGGATTAGAAAAGAAAAGTTAACAGATTTGGAGAATGAATGAATAAAATGGGACTGGGGTGTAGAAATTAAAAAAAGGTTCAAGTGTTGTTTGAACTGCTTGAGAAATTTGGTTTAGACACAATTGGAAAAAGTGTGGATGAAAGTGTAACCTGATAAAAACAAAAGGGATAAGAAGTTAAATAATAAATATAGTCATGATTGTATTTTTACTTTATACTGGTTTATGCATGTTGTTCATAAGTGTAGTTTTAAGTTTTACTCAGCAGTAAGTCAGGAATTGGGTCTTTGCTGGGACAAAATGGTTTATTTGCCTAGAAGGCATTATACACTTAAAGGGAAACATTTTAGACCTATCTGCTGAAACACTAGATATAGTTTATATTGTATTGTGCCAGACCAGTGCTTCAATTTGGCAGGCAAAGTGTCAGCTCTGATTTCACTTTTTTTTTCTCCTGTCTTTTGCAGGTTTGTGTGCAGCTTGGTTTACTACGGTCTTACCCTTAATGTGGGTGACTTAGGAGGAAATATTTATGCCAATTTAGCCCTGTCAGGCTTAATAGAAATCCCAGCATACCCAATCTGTATTTACTTAATTAACCAAAAATGGTAAGTATGGAATTTATTAACCTATTCAGGACTTCCTTATAACTTTTCTCAAATATAGGTTTTCTGTGTATCACACCTCCTAGCTTGTATCTGTTGTGTGGGCTTTACACTTCGATGTGCAAGTGCCATTGATTTATGTCTGTTTCAAATAGCAGTTTAACTTACTTTCAGTCACACAGCTCACGGTGAGCCGTCCCTGTGGCTTGGGTGGGGTTGATGTAGCTGGGAGGAAGCTGCGCTGCCTGCAGGCTGACACTAGAGAGCGTCCTTCCCACCGCTGCCCCGTGATCCCGTCCTCCTGCTGGGACAGAGCTATCCCGAGATAGAGATAGACAGCTCCGCTCTGCCCGGGCTGTCCTGTGCTCTCCTGCAGTAGCAGTGCCTCTCTGAGCTACTGTGAGAGCAGAGCAGATATTCTGCCTTTTCCTGAACCATGATACACTGAGAGCCATTGTCCAATGCCTCTCAGTTTTTGTAGAATTTCCTCCCAGTCTCTGCCCTGTGTCTCCTGAGGAGGTTTACAAATGTCACGCACTGCGGGAAGCAACCCCAAATCCTAGAAATTGCCAGTTGCTGTATAAAGTTGGCACTCATTTTGTTAAGTGTGCAGCAGAAGCTTGTTTAAAAACGGTGTGAGAGGAGGTGTTGGTGGAAGATGGAATTCAGAATTCCCAACTGCAAAGAAAGAGTCAGTGTGAATTCAGAGGATTCATTACTCTGCAACCCACAAACCTAATGCAGAATATAAATATAAACCTTTGTTATCTTTGTGTATCAGGTTTGGTCGGAAGCGAACGTTGAGTGCATTTCTTTTCCTGGGAGGATTGGCCTGTCTTATTGTCATGTTTCTGCCTAAGAAGAGAGGTAAGTAGTTTTTTGTTTCTGGAGTATGTGATAAGAACTGGTAAAAGCAGCATCCTACAGCATAACAATTTGATGGCTGCTGGAAGATTAGGCTCATAACATATGTGAGTCTCAGTGGAGAAGCTCATTTTTCCAATGAGCCAACTCATTAGAAAAAGAACAATAAGAATTAACTTCCTTAAGACCTTAGAGAAAACTTGTTAGTAAGGTTTGGATTTGAATTTTTGCCTTTGGATTCTGCCCTTTACTTCTGTTCACATCAGTTGCTCCTTCACAGTGTTTTTGACATAATGCCAATGAATTATGTTCTTGTGGTATCTCCAATTGCTAGATGACAGGTTAGTGTAAGTAGTACCTGTGCAACTTGGATATAGCTTTCCAAGTGGAAGATCAGTATTAGAAGATGTGAAGAACTGAGTGCTGGAGCAAGTTCCCATCTTTCCCACACTGCTCTGTAATATTCAAAAGTAGTGTGGTTGTGGCAGTAGTAATGTGGCTACACAAGTTACAGCTCAGGAGAGCATTCTGATAAACTTCTGAATTGGGGAGTCTTTAAAAAATGTGAAATTAAACATCTTTTGTGTGAAGATACACTAATGTTAATTTTCAGATTATGTAGCAATTTTTCTTGTTAAAACCAGATAGATAAATTCACCTTGCTTGTAAGATCTATGGATGTATATTACCTTTCATAAAGTAAGAGAATGTTTCAAATGCTTGAAGAGTGATTCAAGAAATAAAACATCTATGACAGAGTACAGAATTTGCCCTAGATGGCAGTGGGTCTCATAGGTAAAGGTTTTTAAAAGGGATGCAACTTAAGTTTTCAGAATTTTTCCAGTATGGACACTTTGAAATATTCTGCTTTGCCTGGTACCAGTCACCAAGTATTTTTTTCATGTCATTCCAAACATAAGATGTGAAAAGAGAGGACAGAACCATGAGACCCCAGGAAATCAGCTGTGTATTGAACTGCCCAAATCAGGCAAGGGTGAAGTGCTTGGGGAAGTGAAAGGGCTCACTGGCCTGAAGCAAGCACCTGTCTTCACTGGGCATGAGCTCTGATTTGCCTGTTAAAAGCAGATAAGCACTGGCTGTTCTGATAAACTAAGCTGGATGGGAATTTAGTATGGTTCTTCGCAGCATCTTCCTTTCAAAGAATTAATAATAGAAGAATCTTGTCATGCTATAGAAATGACCATGAATACATCTCTTGTTAAAAAAAAAAAATGTACTCACTTTTGGAAAAGGTATCTGTTATACTCTTCTTGAACTTTCTGATAGAACTCATTTAGTATTTAATTAGTGGTAGACTGAAAATACTGTTTTACATTCAGCTTTTAGATTCCTTTTCACTCCATACTATTGTGTGATTGAAATGCTTGGAGGTGTATTGGAGTGCTCAAAAGCCTTACCAGGGTCACATTTTCTCTCTCAGATACTGGAGTGTTTGCAGTGGTGAACAGTCGCTCTCTGTCCTTGCTGGGAAAACTGACAATCAGTGCTGCTTTTAATATTGTCTACATCTACACATCAGAACTTTATCCCACAGTCATAAGGTAACAGAAGTTAATTTTAAGTCTTCATTTTTCTGGTTCTCTTACATGATCATTTTTATTTCTCTTTTTTTTTTTTTTCTATTAACTATAGTTTTTAATTTGATTTTTTCAGTTACATATAAGGTTAGATGTAGTTTTACATCTGAAATTTCTTCCCTTGTCATCTTCTCACTCCCTCTTCCATCAAGTTTGCAGTGTGCTCTTCAGACTTACTGTATTTTTATGTAACAGTAAAATAGACCCTTATCTGCTTGGCCTGCTCACAACTCCCCTTCTGCTAATGAGGATAACTGTAGCACTGCAGATATTTCTTTTAATGAGTGCTTTATAAAACCAGACAACTCTGTCATCATACATGCTTAACCAGGAGCATTGAAGATGGCTGGTTAATAAACTTTGTTGAAGTAACTTGATGCTTCTCAGGCTGTGTGTGAGCAGCAGTAGGGGCAGAAGCACCCCCTGCTTCTGCGGGCAGGGAAGACGGGAGCTTCTGCCACAGAGGTGCATATGGTGGTCAGCCACCAGTGAAACCATACTGGCGTGTTTTTCATCAGTGGGTAAATCTGATGATAAGTAGGATTTGAATAAATGGATTCAGCCAGAGTGTTAGACACAGGCCAAATGCATGAACTGAAATCATACTTGTTTTGCCTATGTATGTATGTAAAAATTCTGAATCTAAAGGGGGGTTTTGCTTCATTTTAATCACAAAAAACACATTTCATTCCTGTCTTGAGATGCTTTCAGTTACATTTGACTTTCCTTTGCCAATTATTGTGCTCAGGATAATGACTGATGAATCTTTTTCCTTGCTCAATAACACTTTTCAAAAGATTAATTCTTTTTGGTTTTTTTTCATAGGAATGTTGGAATGGGTGCCTGCTCCATGTTTTCCCGTGTTGGTGGCATCATTGCGCCTTTTGTCCCTTCATTGGTTTGTCTGAAATTCTGTTACATATATTCTTGTTTTGTGGTTCTGGTGTATCAGAGGCTTGCAGAGATAGGAATGTTTGGGATAAATTTCATTTATAAATTAAGATACATAAATTGCCTGTCTTAACAGTATTATGGTAGGCCAAAAGAATTGCAGTATCTTCTGTGTGATTAGACAGAACCTCAGCATTATTTAATTTAGAATGTATTTTAGCTTTGTAGGAATTTTGGGACCTATCTAGTGGACCTTAAAATATAATTATTTCAAATCACCAAGATGGTGATACCAAATTTTAAACCCTGCACAAGCAATAGCAAAACACCCATGTGGTTAAAAGAACTACTACATCAAAATTAAGCATATGGGCTCTAAATAACTCAAATTTTTGAGAAAAAGTTAATTTTAATGTCAGTACACTTCATTAAATATCCATGGGTTATAAATATCAGCAAAGCAGTTTACCTTTCAGTAAATGAAGGTGATATGGAGATCTGATACACTGGCAAGGCAAAGAAAGATTCTAAAGAACAAAACATGGGGATGATAGCATTATTTTCCTGTGCTTAGTGTGTTATGTGTATGCAGGAAAAAATGTGCCAGTTTTTCCCAGCTGTTTGCTGAGGCCCCATGGCAATTCCTTTAATGTGACAGATCTCATTTCAGTTAATATTCCTCTCTGCCATTTGCCATTTTACATGTGAGACAGAAGGCTAGCAAAAGGGCAGGTGAGCACAGAGAGCCTTTGAATCTGCAGAATGAAGCACTGGGCAGGTGAGAGTGTGAACACCTCTGGGGAGCAACAGGCAAAGCCAAGAGCGCTGCCAGTCTACCAGGTGGATTTAATAGGCAGCTTTTATGTAGCAGTTGGGACATTCATTATATTGTGTCTGCCAGAGATTTGATACTGCATGAGACCCAGATCTTGGATCATAATGTTTGAAGGGGTTCCATGAAAATGAAAGTAGCTCTGGTTGCATAACAAATGAACCCTGATTTGAGAAAATAATCAGTAATTTTTGTGTTTCACCATTTTTTCTGGTATTTTAAAGAAATTTCAGTGTCTTTTGCCTGGAGATCTCATAATAGTAAAAATAGGAGAAGTTAACTGCTGAGATGAGAGATGAAATGTTGGTCTTTTAATTGATCACAGCCAGTTATTTTCATGAATTTAGAATTGCTCTCTATGATGTGAGTTTTTGAAACAAACAGCCAAACTCTTTCCCTGTTTTAAAATGAGCCTTCTTTACTGTGAAAACAGGGACAAGCATCAAAAGAGAAGTGTAAACATTGCTTGGACTGTTACAGGTGATGCCAGGAATGCCAAAACTCAGTTGAAGCTAAAACTAGCCAGGAGCATAAGTAGGGATTCTGTCAGCTAAAGAAAAATATGTCTGTGGATGAATGGGAGGGGCTTCCTGTTGGTGGGTGACGTGGAATAAGCTGAAATACTTGTGCTACAGTCTTGATAGACAAAGCTTCTCTCCAAGACTCTGCCTGTCAGCACAGTTGAGGAAGCAGGCCAGCAAACAGTAGGAGGAGCAATAGGTTCCATAACACTTAGAGCTGAAAGCTTTCTGTTCCATGGGGTAGGATTCCATGAGAATGGTTGTGATAGTGCAGCAAGTGTTTTCATCATCTGTAGTAAACCACTATTGTAGTGAAGGATCACTGGTGCTGTGGGAGGAGAAAGGCTCATCCTGTGTGTGTCTTCAACATCAGAAAGTGGAACCCAGGTGTGACAGGCTGAGCACCTCTAACTCAGTCTGTGGGAGGACTGAGACATGACCTCCCAGAATCTGTTTATAAGCATGTGAAGGCAAGGAAGGTAATTGGGATCAGTGGACATGGATTTATTAAGGACAATTCCTTCTCAGCCAGCTTGATTTGATAGTCAGCCATTTCATCATGAAGGGCAGTATGGATGGGAAAAGGGAGGAGAGCAGGGAAGGCTTTTGAGAGTATCCCACATTGTTAGCATATGTTTATCACAAGTTTTGGCGTCCAAAGAAATTTGGAAAATAGTGTTTTTGAGAGGCTTAATGCAGCCTGGAACAGTTACTTGGAGGGGAAATCTCCATCCTTGGAGATTTTTGGCTGTTTGATTATGTGAAGCAGTGATTGAGCTTATCTGATTGAGGCTGTAATTGTGCTTAGACTAGGTGGTTGGCCTAGATGACCACAAGAGATCTCCAAGCAGCATGTTTGTGTTTCTGGGTTATCTATTCCCTTCTACAGAGGAATGTTACATTTGTTTAAAAGTACATAGATTAGAGGCAAGAATTGAGTTCAGATTCAGCAGGTGTTTCTTTTAAAGTTCATTACAAAATCTGTGGGGTTCTAATAGTGTTGACAAGGTACAGTTGGCAATACTGGTAAAAAACCCAACCAACCAAACAAAAAAACCCAGGGCAGAAGGATTGGTGACTTTTGTGCTGAATAGGAACACAAACACTGCCAGAGGGAATGGTTGTAAAGGTTAAATCCTTTAATATGCAATATGAACTACACGGAACCAATCTCAACCTAACTCTGTTATTTTTTCCAGAAATCTGTTCAGTGGTCTCTGCCTTATATTGTGTTTGGAGCAACTGGTCTGTTGTCTGGGCTCTTAAGCTTGTTGTTGCCAGAGACCTTAAACAGTCCTTTGCTGGAAACTATTTCAGACCTGCAGGTGTGCTCCTACTGGAGGTTGGGTGATGAAGCCATGTCACTGCAAGCCCTAGATGGCTCACAGGTACATTAATTCTTTTCCTGATACTTTTCTGTTGTGTTTATATCAGCTGTCAGCTTGAATCTGCCACTCTAAATAGATTAGGGTAGTGATTCTTGGCCTGTGGAGGATAGGCCCCAAGGAGAAGATAGATAGTGTAGCAGCCCTACCATCATGTCTGAAATGTTTTCTGGAAATGCAGGCTGAAATATAGCTGGATTAATTCATCCCTTCAAGGCCACAAGCTTACAACATTTCCCTTTGGGATAAAGTGATGTCTGTGCGTCTCTAATCTCAAAGACTCATTGCTGCAGTGTGCTTCAGCCAAAGCTGGACACTGAAGCTTGAGAAGCCTTAGATGTTATCAAAACCAGAAGCCTGTTTGTGAAGGGCTGCTCTCAAAGGCAGCGCACTACTTCTGACCTGCTCCAGCTGTTCTGCAGTGCCAGTTAGCAGGTCTGTCCTAGACAGGCTCTGAATGGGTTAAAGCCAGACTAACCTCTGAGATCTCTCCCGCTATTGACTCTGGGAAATGAGATTCATTGAAAACACTGGAACTACAGAACTCCCAGGTATAAGCATAAATAAATGTGGCAGCAGGATGTTTTTCAATGAGGTTTCCTTGAACTGTGATTTTCAGATCACTTTATTTTATTAAACTCCTGGACACCTCTCTGGATGCCTGTATCTTCCACTCACGTGGAGGTTTTTTGACATGGTTAATTCTCTGTGAATGAAGTGGGATTAGAAAGAAGTGGCTAGAGAGCTGGGAGTGGATGTTTGAATCTGGGTAAAGTTGTAAAGTTTAAATCCTGGTCCTAAAACTTGAAGTATGGAGGGACTTAAAGAAATAGAATAGGTCATCAGACGACTTGAAGGGAAACTTGTAACAAACAATGTTAGTTGCCCCATCAGACTGAGATGAGACAGGATCATTTTAACACCTTTACTTTCATTTGAATAGTTGTTGGTCAAGCACTCTGACATTCACAGGTAGTTATATTTATTTTCACAGAAATCACATACTTCTAGAATAGGAACATTTGCTTCCTATCAGAAGCTTCAATGCGTTTCCTTGTTTACCAAGTTTAGCTGTAATAATTCTTGATAGGACAGCACAGTTTAGTGACAAAAGCACCCTTGAAGAAAGGCTGAAAAAGGCAGACCTGTAACCATTAATTTTATACTTTAGCTACTTTACATGGTTATTTTATAAACATTTTCTACCATACTGGGTAATGTGTTATGGCACCACGTTCTTGCTGACTACACAAATCCATCATATATGTTGACATCAGCTGTTATTTTGGTAATTACACAATTATTACGTCTTAATTGTGCAGATGGTTTAGCAACGAAAGCAGTTTTTGTAAGCAGTGCAGGTGTTCCAGCTTACAGGTGGGAAGCCACATTTTTCATTTATTCTTTAACCAAGTGCAGTCATTAGTTGGTTACACTTTGAGGTGACAAGTATTTTCTGTTAGTATTCCCACAAATTGGTTAGCTTATGTCAGTCAGTCCCCTCAAGTTTAAATCTTCTTTGCTTGTCCTTCTGTAGGCTTTTTAAAAATCCCAACCTGAACAGGACCCACAAAAGGGGACATTGTTCTGAATGGTTTTTAGAAAAATTTTGCCCAGGATGGATTAAAATTACTGAATCCAAATGAAAAAGTCATTGGTTCAGGCCTTAACTAATCCTGTAACTTCAGTGAAGTTATATCTGCAGTGCATTAGGGATTTATTTTAAAGCTCACAAAGAAAGTACTGATAAAATGGGAAGCTGTTAAACATTAACCCTAATTGACAAGGCCTTGAGAGGTCTTATGAAGATGTTGTGAGAAAGATTTAGAATTTATTTGGCATACCCTGAATTCCCCCTGTGGAATCCACTGTCCTTTTGTACCATTTTCAAGATAACGTGTTCTGATTGCCCAGAACGGAGGTTTTGTTCCTGTTAACATACATGAATGTGATATTCAAGTTGGGCAGCATCCAGTAATAGCCTGACTTTCCTCAAATAGTTTTAGAAGTCTAGGGAAAAAAAAGCCTAACACGATTCCCTTTACATCTTCTGACAGGTCGTAGTGCTCAAACTGTTTGAAATTCCTTTGCAGTTAACGCACATTGCCGTAGCAAAGCTCCTCTGAAGAGAGATCTAAAGCTACAGATTTTGCTTGCATGGTACTGTCAGTCAGGAGCACTATTTCCATTTCTCTATTTTTCACCCTCTCTCTCACCCTTCTTAGCATATGACTAGGCAGACAGAGGTATTAGGATGGATGCAAGCATATTGGGGAAAAAATCCTAAATAATCAAATGAGATGGAGCTTGTACTAGCAAGAGAACCTTTTTAACTGGAATCGTTTGTGTCAGTTCCATGGAAAAATGCTGCACTGGCCAAATAAAAATCAATTAGCTGTAATAGCTGACTTTATTTTGGGTATGTGGTATAAATTATGTTGTGGAAAGGACTCTGACTGGAGTAGGTATGCCTATAATAGGGATTTTACCTTCTGAACATACAGCATGTTAATGATTTTCCCTTTTCCATAACACTTTCATTAGTATTGCAGGGGAATCTTTTTAATTCAACTTGCGCAGTAAAATGTCCATGCTAGCCAAGGAAAAAGTATGAATTGGGGATGGAGAAGCTTTACCTAAATAAGTAATATGTGTTCTGAGCTGTGATGAGACTATTATGTTTCCAGTAGCTCTCCACAGAGTAGGCACCTTAGCCTAAATTTAAGAAAACTTGGTAGATTACCACTTCAGAACCACTCTAGCCAGTCTCTCCTGCATATATTCTCTAGTGTACTGGTGGAGCAGAGAAAGTCCATCCACTACAACCCCATGTCTTTTAAAGATATTTTGAGAAACCAAGGATTTGAATCTGAATTCGCATAATGTCTTTATTTATAAAGTTTTAATACAGTGGTTAGACCTGTGTTTTCTTACTTTTTCTATACCAGCATTCCACATAAGTGTAATGGTTCATGCTCATGTATGTTGAGATTGATTTAGTGGCTTCAGTCTAACTAACAACTTCTTTTTTGCTTCTAGTCTGGAGACAAAGACAGCTCTACAGGGAGTGGAAGTGAAGATGAGGAGTTTTATGATGCTGATGAAGAGACTCACATGATAAAGTAATGAAAAGAAGAAACACTGGCCTATTTTATGCCTCTTCTTGCCCAGTCAGTCCAGCTGTATGACAAGTATTGCTTGCCAGGCAATGTAATTGGGCAAGTGCCTGTGTTTTTCCTTACTTGGAGAGGGATTTGGGTACTGTTCAGTCTGATGACATCACTGATGTTCTCCATATGAGGCAGCCATTCCAATTCTTGTGGTTCAGAATACAGTGCATGGACTGCATTTGAAGCCAGATGAGAGAGCAGAAATGAGATGATGTATTTCAGAAGCCCAGGAATAACCTAGGCTTAGACAAATTTGGACAGATCATCAGTGTGTGTGTTACTATTGTATTCTCAAGGTGGTGGATTTTATTTCAGTACAAATTGGTGAACTTGGAAACAGTCACTGTATTTTCCATAAGGGTGAAAGTGGTCAGAGAATGTGCTGTGTGCTACTCCAGTGGGAACAAATTGCTGAAATTGTATGTTTAAATGGCTTTTGCATATTCAGTGGAGGAGAGGCAGCTGTGAACAAAAGGTTTCTGTGTGCACACCTACAGGTGGTTAGTCATGAGCTGGTCTTTAACTTAGTGATAATGGAAGGTTGGGAGGAAGGACTGCACAAAAGAGCGGCCACAAAGCCTGCCAACATACGGGAAGTTACTGACTTTTTTCCTTCTTTTCACACACAAAGCTTTTTCTTGGTCTTGTGTATGTTTGCCACATGTTCCCCACATCTCAGCGTGGCTGTTTATAGCTTTGCCTACTTTTACCTTGTCCTCACTTTGCCGTAACTGTTGAAGCTCAGCAACTTCTCTGTGGAGTGAAATAATTCTGTGATGGATATCGTTTCCTGGGTGCAACAAAGGTGAGGCATTTATCACATACCGGGTGTGTGGTGTGATAGAATGTACAGCTCACTTTTGTGGACCTGTCTGGGTCTTTATTTCTGGAAAAGGCTTAACTCTGAAGTGGTAAGAGGAACTGTGGAGTGCTTTTATATTTTGGGTGCTGTTATCAGGAAGCTGCTGGTGTTTATTTTAAAATCTTTCGTGTAGCTAAGGTTTTAATTTAAAAAGACAGCAAATCTCTTTGGACCTTTTTGGTTACTTGATGTTTTCTGACCAATGCTTGCTCAAGCACTTGGTTACTTGACCTTGTTAAGGAACACAACTTCACTTTCCTGTTTCACTGAACTTTCTGTAGGTGCTTCATTAGAGGGATATGGAATCCCAAAGTGTGAAACATGTGGAATGTTCCAACTACAAAAATGAGGCCTTACAGAGATTCAGTTTTCTTGATGACATTGCCATCTTCATCCTCTAACCTGTGGCTTTCTCTTTGTCAAGATTGGTTTCCATAAAATGTTAGTCTTCCTACTTTGAGTTCCTAGCAAAGTGCACACAATGGCAGTAAATATATTTTCAGGCTCATGAATCATTTTTGCAGATCTTAGAATTAAAAAAGGTGGGTCTAAAAATATCAAAAAGCTGTCTGCTGAATATGTCCTGGTTAGAGTGGGAAGTTCCTTTACTTGCAAGGAAGTGAAAGTAACCAGCATCTGACGTTTGCAGCCAGCTGCTTGAACTTTGTTCACTGGGAGCTGTAATGCTGAGCAAAGTGCAACTGCCCTGGTTGGTGCAGAGAGCGGCCCAGAGTCTGCAGTTGGACACACGCAGCATTCCAGTGGGGTGTGAACTTGATCCAGGTGTTGACTGTGGGCAAAGTTGGAAACTTCAGTCCCTCTGAACAGTCTGTCAGTGTTGTTGTGCTTTTTGCCTGTATTATTCTTCACTGGAAGAATTCTCACTCCTAGTCTTCCCTTTTTTTTCCCCCACAGACTGTTGAGTAGTTGTTGTAGATGTGGCACTTTTTAACCCAGGTGGGTAGTCTTTCTGCCTTATTTGGCCCTTTTGTGTATAAGGAAATTTCACCAAATAAGGTACTCAGAAATAGTTGGACAAGTTGGAGCTATTCAAATAGTTTTAAATTTTTTACTCACACTTGAATTTATGGACAGCTGGGAAAATGACTTTTTATTGCTGGTGGCAATCAGCAGTAAGCCTGGCAGTAATAACACGTTGCCAAGGTGTTTTTACGTCTTTGTTTTTAGGTGTTTGTTGCCTCTGTCCCTCTTTGGGTGTTGGGTGGAACTAGTCAGGAGCTGCCATTATCTGCCCTGGCAACCCTGTGTAATGCCTCAAGACCCTCAACAGAATTTTCATTAACAGTAGGATGTTGTAATGGTTCAGGAGGAGAAGATTACTCTCTGCAGGACCTAAGCTAGATTTTGTGGGTCTTTAAATAAAAATTAAATTTACCTCTCCACTCATGCACTTTATAGTATTGGTATACATATGTAAAATTCCAGAAACAAGAGTGAAGACAAAATTAGCAACTTTTTTGCATAGGAATTGCTGCTCTTCTATTAACGTTAAATCTGTCCCATGCTTTTACCTTTGAAATTCTAAAGGGAATATTTAAAAAAGAATTCTGAATCTTCCATTGATACTTTCCCATATCAGTTAATTCAGAAAGTTTAGAGGAGAAAATCCCTGCAGAAGGAGCTCAGCAATGTAGCATTAAACTTTGCATTCCAGCTTTGTGTTCTGAAGTTCAGATCCATTAGGTGCATTAAGTTTCCTTTCTGAGGCTGTTCATTTTTAGTATGAGCTGGCCTTCTGGTACAGAAACCTATAGGATCACTTTTCCTCTTACCCATGATATGTAATGCTTTACAATGTTGAGATAGTTGTATCTCAGTGTGAGCAGTAAGTTTGCCATGAGGAGCTACTGGAAAGTAGAACACTGGGTACATCACTCTACTACATGTTGTAGTGCTAGGACTCTGAGACTAAGGTTCTTGCTATAGTTTACTGCAGTGTGATAATCTTCTGCCATGTTTTTTGCTAGAGTAGCCAGTACTGTAAAGCCATTTTCATGTTGTGCAGGCACTAAGATACCACTTTTCTCAAGGTGGAATTTCTTCTCTGGATTCCTTTGGCTGTGATTTTTTTTTTCTTTTCTTTTTTTTTCAGGTAGATCACTTAGTGGGATTATGCTAGAGAGAATAGAGCTTTTTCCCATGGTGCTGATTAGTCAGGTCTGAACAGAATCCCAAACATACCTCACTTACCTGGGGAGCTCACAAGTGATAAGTGAATACATCTAAGAGTGAAGGAGAGTGACAGGTCATGTGAGGCAGCATGGAGGAGAATGAGCTGGAAGAAGTGAAAAAAAAAAAAAGGGAGGATTCAACTGTAGCACCTTAGGGCAAGGGTAAGTGAAAATACAGAACAGCTGTTGGGTAGAAATACCCTTTAATACAATACAATTTTAAATTTTTCCTGAAAACAAAGATAGTGTTCTCTAATTAGGAATTGGGAAAGTTCAGAGACCCCCTGACATACCAGAAGCTCTGTGTTAAAGGAGTGCCAGAGGTGACTGTGTGTTCAGGTCAGGATGCTGAGTGAGGAGCCCCTCCAGAGACCCCCAGCTAACATGGAGCAGGTTGCAGCTTGTTTTCACCCATAGTTACAGTCAAGGCAGTAAGGGTGGGAGCCATCATTAGTGTTCATTAGCTCAAAGTGTGCAATCCATGCCAGCTTTTCCAAACTGTGTGGATGCTCTTAGTAGGACATGATTTACAGAGCCATGGGGAATGCAGTTGAGCCATACATTTTACAGCGTATTTCACCTAAGCATGTAAAAGCAGTTTGCAAGAGAATGTTTTTCTTGCACTCAGGAAAAAGGGAAAGTGAGGAAATTTTCCTGGAGTGTGTTAAATGGAATATTAGCATTAAAACTCTTGTTCTAAAGTCTTCTCAATGCAGATAATAATCACGAATGCAGACTGGGTGAGCAGTATTTTGTTTTAGCTGAAGGTTGTGTGTTTATCCCTTTTCCCACCCCAGGAGCGCTTCTCTGGTCCAGCTCTTTGACACAGCAGAATCTGTGACTGCAGACTGTGAGCCTTGCAGTAAAGATGTCAGAAAAGCCCAAGAGCAGTGCTGTCATTTGATGGTGGAAGTTAGTCTGATCTGACACAGTGTTTCTATCAGAAATGTCTATATTCAGCTGTTTACCAAACAGGAGACTTAGGGTATAGCTGTATTTTGAGTCTCATTTGTTGTATCTTGCTGCAAGATATGTGGTAGAAAGACATCTACATAAGAAAACCTCTCTGGCAGATCTAAATGTGGAATTGGAGGGTGAACAAATTTATACATAATTTTTCCATGCTGTGTATTTTAATGTATTTTAATTTTGTCTAGTCTGTTGTAGCCTTCAGATTTTCCAGGTGCTACTGTTATTTAAGGCTAGTAGAGCTGGGTAAAACTTTTACCCTGGTAGTCTGAATTTACTAAACTTTCTCATCCCAGTTTTTTTCTGTCATTCTGAAAAATGCTCCTGTATTGCCTAATAGGGAGCAGAATTTTTTTGTTCTTATTTGAAGTGCCTGTTTTGTGAAAGTAGTCTTTAATTTCCCTCCGTCAATTTTATATGGGACTATGTGTAAAGTAGCATCACAGAATTGGATTATATGTGTGCCAAAGACAGTTTTTGCTGGAGAGCAATAGTCCAAAACTAGTTTGAGCTGCCTTTATTTAGACTTTATCCATGCAGAACTGGTCCGCAGAACTGGTATTTACAAGCATCCCTGAAACTATAGGAACAGAGAGTTACCTTTGTTTGCTTGTCTTTCATTGCTTGGTTCACTTAAGTAGCTTTTGTTTATGAGAAACCAAAGAAATTAAATGAAGGATTAAAGTGTTCTTTTTGTAGAACATTCAGAGTTTATACCATGTAGCCATTGCAGAGAAATCTGCAGAACCTGTTTTGATTCTGAGTTGCAAGTGTCAAAGTTTACTCTCTTAGACTGATGAAACCTGGTTAAAAACTGTACACTGGAATTTGTTAGTTCATTCATCAATCTTACAAATTAGCATTGCTAGCAAACAGTTTGCCTGGAGCTTCTTGGGATCTAGCAGGTTTTTGTAAAATGCACACTCTGTTTGAGGCATTGCTAAATAATAATATATGGATTTTAAATCCCTACTACAACTAATATTCACTGCAAGTCAGCCTTGTAATGGCTGCATATTTGTCAGCAAAAAAGCAGGTGGATAAAACTTTATACAACGAGGGCTGACTAGGCCCAGAAGAAAGATTATTTCTTTCAAACCATTCTCTGCTATGTGTACACAATAAAGGGGGACCATGGGGTGTGTACAGTAAGATTGTAGGATGGAATATGTTTAAATACTTGCCTGCCCTCATTCACTAAAGGTTTCTAGAGGAAATCTGTCTTTATCATGCATGTTTCTGCATCCCACCAACACATCTGAGGTGCTCATTTTGTACCTGTTTTGTCAGGAGCCAGGCAAAAGTATGATGGTAAGAAAACCTTTGCCAGTATTGAAAGTTGTATTTACTAAAAAATCTCCTCGGAGAGGTGTCTGGTACATCTGTTTCCAAACAAAATTTTTAAATGTTGGAAGCCTGATTAGGAGACTTGCATTTCTGCATTTCTGATGTTAGTCTGTAGGAAAACTCAGTTTTGCAGATACTGATGAAAACTGTTACAGAGCAAAAACTGCTAGAGGATTTGTGGTGAGAGTTGTGTATGCTTTGACTTCAAATAGGCCTCTAAAATACTGGTTTCTAGTATTTGATCCCTTTTGCTCCTCAAAATCCAACCCAGATTTTATTTTATTCCTGTTAAAATTTGAGTAATGTGGAAATGAGAAGTATGTTTTTCATACGGATACTTTTATTGCACTACCTTTGCTTCCTGAATCAAATAGTATTTTGATTTTTTAGGCTACCTCTCTTATGTTGAGCTTTTTGTTGTCACTTTTGTATTTAATTGATTTTGGGGAAATGACAAAATATTTTCTTTTTTTTATTTGTGTAGGAATCCATTACTTAGTCCTCAAGTCATCCTTCCCTTTTAAAGGTTTTGTCAAAGGCTTTTTTAAATTTAATTAAAAGACTTAAAACTTCTGAGGATCTTCATAATTACACAGTTAGGAAATGGCTTTCCTGTATATATTGTTTGCCTTTAAAAGGGACAGAAAGCCTTTAATTCTATACTAATGTCAGCTGAAGGCATGACTTTTCAGGAACAGTAAGTTTTGAGTCAGAGGGCTTTAATCAATTGCCAATTAGCGTTTTTATGTTACTGCTTTGGTATTGGAATTAAAAATAATGAAAACACTTAAGAAAGATACTGCTGCTTTTCTCCAGACACTGGTCTTCCTTCTCTCTACCCCATGCCATCCTCCTGTTCCTTGGCTGCTTGTCATGCTCAGTCCCCTCAGCAAGGTCACAGGCAGCGCAGGAGACTGGGATCAGTCTGTTGTGCTTCTGTTTATTCACTGCTCTTTGTTTCTTGTTCTGCTGCTCTCCTGTGGGTTCCAGCACCAGCCACAGTCCATTTAGAGTTGTAGCTCCTTTTGAGTCTACTCTCAGCCTCTGCTCAGCCTGATTTTCCTTTGCTGTTTCTCCTGCTCAGCTGTCTCTCTGTTTGTCTTCTGCTGACGTGGGCTTATCCTTTTTCCTCGTCCTGTTGTAGCACTGTAATCTCTTTTTCTTGGCATTTAGAGCCTTATCTTAAACATGCTTTTGTCCAAGTGCCATCAGCTCCTCTGGCAGTGTTGGAGTGCAGTGGGTCAGTGCTCACTGGGCCTGAGAGGCAGTGGCCACTACCTGAAACACTGGAGGATCCATCTGAACACAGGGAAGCACCTTTTTAACATCAGGGAGATGGAGCACTGGCACAGGTTGCCTGGAGAGGTTGTGGAGTCTCCATGTGTGCAGATACTCAGGAGTCACTGGGACATGGTCCTAGGCAGTCTGCTTTAGTGCTTGGCCCTGCTTGAGCTGGGAGGTTGGGCCAGGTGACCTGCAGAGGAGGTGCCTGCCTTCCTCTGAGGATGGAGGGCACCACCAGAGGTGCCACCTCCTGAGGTGCCTTCCACCCTCAGCCGTTGTGGGATTCCTGTGCTGGCTGCTGCTGAGCTGTCTGGGACCGGCACAGGCAGTCCCTGGCATCTTCCCTCACAGGACACCGTGCCCAAGCCCTGACAGCCATGCTCATACACCATTCCACAGGGGTTTCTTGCACGTCAAGTCCTTGGCCTGGGCTGACAGGTGGCTGGTACTGCCTTGCCTTTCTGTGTTGCTGTTGTCTTAGGTCAAGTAACTGAAACTCCTAAGGACATGAACAGACATTTGTAGCCAAGCTCTGTCTGTGTGCATTTACATCTTTCCTGATTTCAGAAGACAGAACTTAGACCTCCTCTTGACCAGAGGGGTAAATTACTTTTTTTGCTGCTCCACCTTTCATTGTCATGAAAACAAATCTTTATGTATTCTCTGTATGCTGTAGACTTTTGCATTGTTTTCTCATTCCTGTTTAATGTGAACTAACAATCAAAAGTCCTTGCCAGTTGAGAGCTGAGTAACAGGAAATTGGTAGTGGGGGCAGGGAGAGCAGATTCAGTTCAAAAATGAAGTTGTATATAGTTGATGTGTGTACTGTTAAGTATTTAATTTGGATTAACGGAATACTGAGTGTTACAAACATTCCCATGTTAAAATGAGGACTGATGTATTTCAGAAGTACTTTCTCTTCTCTAACTGTATTAATGTGCTGTTGTTAACTCAGAGCTGTACTGCTGGAAAGTCTGTTACTTCATCTGAGAAGTCACAACTGAAGACAGCGTAAGCTTTTCCACAGTAGACCTTTTATGGTGATATATTCATATGTTCTGTGAACAGCTGTTGGATCCATCTTTTTAAGATGTTCTTTGCCATAGTGAGGGGCCATAACAAATGTTGAAATATTCAGAATAATTGCACTTATCTATTCTGTTTTCTTAATGTATTTCCTATGCATACTGCCTTACCTGTATGTATTGTACTTCACTGGCGGTACGAAAAGTTAGTATCAGGTTCTTAATTTAGAATGTGTTAATGAGTTTTTAAAATAGTTCTGTAATACTAAATATTTTCCAGTGATCTGTCTGCTAAGAGAGGGTGATGATGGGTAAGCCCAGGTGAATTTAGTCAAAAAGTTAATATTGGTTGTCTTTACTTTCTCTTTTAATTTCTGAATTATTTCAATAATTTTAAATACATATATTTTAGGAATTTTGTAGAGGCTAACTTATGTTAGTAAACAAACTTTTAGGTGATTTGTAACAGCTCTGATACTGCCTCTGACTCCTACAGTTCATCCAATGTCTTTGTAACTTATTTTGTGCCTTTTCTTCCCATGACAGAAAATGTCTCAATAAAAACAAGTTCTTTTGCAACACCACAAACCTATTTTATTGTTCTGATTTTTTTACTTGCCTGACCCTTTTGTTTGTTTTCTGGAGGGACATGAAGCTCTCAGAATAGAATAGATATTTCTATTGGACTCAGCAGAAGAAAATTGACAAGGTGGAAAGCAGGTCATTTTGGAAAGGCAGTGCTACAAAGCGCCTGGGAAACTGGGACTGTCAGTACTAATCAATATATTCCACCATATCTATCACAAATCATTTCTAACAAAAACTGGCACCAGTGGAATGTGAGAATCAATTTACTACTGGCTTCAGTTGTGCTGATTGATGTTGAAAGACTGGAAACACTTTGGGGGGTTTAGCATAGCCAAATGTCTGTGGTGGTGTTACTAACACGTACTGGGGGGGTTCCCATGAGCTCTAGTTGTCTCTTAAACAACCCTTCTTAAAGTGGATGCAGATTCACAAGGCTGTGGTCCCTGTCCTCAGTGCTCCTGCCAAAGCATCTCGTCAGGGAATGGCAAAATTTGAACATTTGTCTTCATTACCTGGCAATGAGGTGATAAATAGCTTGACTGTATTTCCTGTCCCCTGTCCAGTAGCAAAGAAAATATTGTCAGAACCTGGAAAAAGTGACTTTAGGGGAATAGGGATCACTTCTCTGTTCTAAACTGCCATTTGATTGTTTTCTCTGCCAGCCTTTGCTTGATTAGAGAGCAGTTCATGGAGTCCCTGGTAGCAGAAACTGAATAGCTCTGTGCTCCTCTGAATGCTGTTCTTCCCTCCTGCCCCAAACTGTCCCTGTCCCACCAGATGACTGGTAGCATTATTCACCCCATTTTCTATTTGAAGCACATCTGCTTGTTTCCTTCCCTCCATGAAAACCCAAGGAGCAGAGATGGCTTGCTCCTTTCTGCACTAGCCTGGCCAAGCAACTTGCTCTGGTTTTATTCCACTATGGTTTCTCCTCCCCCACTCCTGTTTTCAGTGCCCTTAATCTGCATTTAACTAGTTCTAGCCCTGAATGTCAGTCCCGTGGCCTGTCACTGCCTGGAGCAGATACAGCACAAACGATTGACCCTCTCCCTTTGGCAGTTTGGCTTTGACTGCACAAACAGCCAATAAAGGGGAAAGGGCTGGGCAGCTGATGGGAATTAGCTTGATGCTGTATAGTTTTATTGGTCTGAGATAAAGGAGGAAGTGTTTGCTTGAGAATTAAATTGCTTGCTTGCTTGCTTTCTCCTGCTACCTGCTCTTCAGATGACACATTTTCAGAAGTTATAGACTAAAAGAATAGCATATGTATTAGCCAGACTTAGCTTGGATTGGAGGCTGTGTTAGCTCATCTTCCAGCAAAGCTGGAGTGTGTAGCTATGGAGGTCATTATCTGATCTGTCTAGAAATTCTCTGAAAATACCTGCCTGAAACCTCTGTAGAGATTGTGACAAGGCTTGTTCTCATTAATTTGCTGATTATCTTGGTCTGCTTTATGGTACATACATCATGCTTCCAATAAAAAGCAAATTATTTCTCACTTCTGTTGGTGCTCTTATTGTACAGTAATTGTTCCTGCATGGGAGTTGTTACCCTCTGGGCCCATGCATGGCAGAGTCCCAGTGACTCTCCTCCTCTGCTTTCTTCCCACACAAAGCATGTAGTTGTCTGGGCCTTCCCCTGTGCTTTTCTTGAGACACTTCTACAGGAATATTGGTAAACTCTTCCTTTAATCCTGACTGCTTCTTCAGCTTCTCCTTTCTGTCCTCTCCACAGGGCCACATTAGCCCCAGGACACAAGACAGACATATCCTAAGGATCACCTGGGAAGTTTGGTATCTTTGACCTTGTATATAGAGTGGCAAGCTGAGGAGTTTGATCAGACAGCTTTTATAGTAGATTGGCAATATAGTTAAGCAAGATCATACAAAAACACATCTGCTTTTCATGTGGTTCAGACAGAACGTGGTTGTCAGCTGTCTTCACTCTCCTGGGGGCTTTTTGTGGGTTTTTGTTTGTTTTGGGTGGGAGAAGATGGGGGTGGTTTGCTTCATTGTTGTTGGGGGGTTTTTTGTTGTTTTATTTGTTTGGTTTAGCTTTTTATTTAATCTCACACTCCTCCCACACAAGTATTTTTTCCAGCACTCTAAAATAGCTCCCAGGGACCAGGCTTTTTTGGGCCTGAAGACCCTTCTCAGTTTCCTTGCTCAAGCTGACCTGTTTGTTCTGCAGTAATTGTATTTTGATCCGGAGAAGGCAATAGATCTTAACAGGTGTGTAGCTGTTGTTGGTCTGTGATATATGAGACCTAGTTTCTAGCTCTGGCTCCAGTGAACTCTTGTACATTTTTTATTAGTCAGTGACTGGATGAAGCACATAAACAGGGATGCCAGTCTGAGTCTTCTCTTTCCCAAGTGAGTTTGTGTTGGAGTGACTGTTCTCACTTAGCACTGGTAATTTACTCAATTTACTTCAAACTGCTGTGGACTCGAGCAATAAGTTCTGAATCGGGTCAATTTGGACACAACAGCAAAGTGTAAAAATAATACAAACTAACATTGTGCTCTGAGAGCTGTCATGAAAAAAAAATACCAGCTCCTGGAAATGCAGTGATCCAGTCTCATTCAGCCCCTCTTGTTGAAAGAGCATCATTGCAAGCATGCTTCTTGGTTTGGCTCTTTTAAATCTTGGACTTGGTCTCTCTGTCCCAAGTTACTGTGACCCTAAATTTAAAATCCTTTTTTTGACACCTGAAAATAACCAGCAACCCTATGCTGACATCAAAAGTGAGGCAGCTTTTTCTCACCTGAAAGACTTCCAGTGCTAAAAGTTTTCCCAGTTGCACTGTGCTCTGCCAAACATGTTTTTTCCAGATGCTGTTTTTCTAACTATGTGCTTAAATCAGTGGTATCAAGTATTTCCTTTTTGGCATGCAGGCTATTTATGTAGGCATATAAATAAAAGTGCTGGAAGTCTCTCATTTTTGTGGATGTTGGCTGCAGGTAGGTTTTCAAGATGGTGGGACATCCTGATTGAAACAGTAGAACAGTAGTTGTAGTTTAGTGATGGATAAAACACAGAGGAAAAATATCCTTAGAAATGGTCTAGTGGAATATTTTATGTTTAAATTATGATGCACTGAAATTACACTATTTCAGTGAACTTTCAGAGGACAGTACATGGATTCAGAGCACAAAATGCCAGTCTTCCTGTCCCACATCTCAGTGAACTCTCCTGGAAGCCTCAGAGCTGATGCAGCCAGGTGTCATGGTTTGAGCCTGGCACAGAGCCAGTGCCCCCCATGAAAAT